AAATAAAAGGTGACAAAAATTAAGAACTCCAAAGATGTATGCAGCGAGTTCATTGTCGACCCTTAATAAAACGCTAAGTACTATAAACGTCAAACAAATGCAACTTGTAGCACAGGTCCAACTGTATATAACAGCAAAACAGCATGTCAAAAGATTCAGAGATGGTGGAAAAAAAAATTTGATTCTCTCGCCGTTCGCTGGTTAAACACAACGCAAAATGAGATATCGTTCGGATACAGTGAAAATGAGTGGTTCGATTCTTTTCCAGAGCTAACGCTGTTTTCAGAAAGGAGTCCCGTTTCAGAAGTTTCCAAATTTTGTAAGACTGCGCTACCGAGCATAATTTTTAAAACCAGTAAATAAACAATGGGAGAAAAAAAGATCACACTTCATCAACCGTATTTGAAAAAAAAAAAAGAAATTAAACATGAAAAACAATTCCGTTTGAACTTCCAAGACACAGATGCATCACTCCATCACGATCATCAGAATCTTAAGCATTATCAGTACGGGATTTTCAAGATAACTGACAAACTAACAGGTTGGCGGTAACTACGCCTCAGTGAGTGTTCCGGCGATATCCTCCAAATATTCCATGGCTCGTTCTTTGACCTAAAAAATTCATCAGGCGAGTCAGCAGCTGGTCGAGTAAAATTTTATTCAACAATATCTTGAAGATGAATACTCAGCGACGAAGTTCTCATGTAACGACAACTTCTTTTCTGTAAATGATCACAAAGAAACCCGATTTTTTACCCTAAATCACCAAATATTACTGAAATGCTTCCATACACCAGGTTCTTTCATAAATCAAAAACACAAACACACACTCAGTGCTTGCCTGCGATCTCACTTTATAAAAGCAGTGTCTCAAAAGCCAAAATTTCCTCACTCTCTATGTGAAGCAAAAGTGCCCAAAACTGCTGAAGCGGTAGCATGTGCCAAAAGCAACCAATCACTGGCTAAACTTTTCAAGTAATCTTTTTTCAAGAATTGCTTAGAAGCAAACTGATGGTGCACTTAACTTCTTGGCAATCAATTTAACATCGAAACGAATGAAGAACGAACTGCACAACGATTTGCTGCCTAATGGCCGGAATAGAACCCATAGCCCTAAGCATGGGAGCAGTGCTACATGCCCCCAAAGCGCAATTCTTTCAAATTCAGGGCATGTTCAAAACCTGCAGAGCCTTTGTCATCAATCAACAATAATGCTCAGTTTGAAAAAAACCCCAGAGTATTTTTATTGCTTCAAAACTAACCGTAGTTTGCTGTTTTTCAGTACCAAATTTTTGCTCCAAATCCATCCATTTTTTGAAAAATAATCGCATTTTATGAGTGGATAATTTGAGAGCTGTAACCCGTTCAAGTAATTGCCTGCAAAATGAATGAACAATATTTTCACGTTAGGAGTTTCCAACACAGTTTTTATCCCTTTCTTATCGCAGTCGCCTATGTTTTTCCAGTCTCCCCTCTCGATTTTCAAAAACCGCTTATTTCTTGTTCCTGCCTCTCTACCCAATACTTCAGCTCCTTCTTTCCTAAGTTGCTCAGCCCGTTGTCTAAGCTATGCACATAGTTCCAACTCTAGTAATACCGTTTTTTTCCCAGAAAAAAATTGCTCACTAAACATCATACCTTCTCGAAATGACTAATGGTTTAAAGAATGTAACTGTCCAGACAACTACTGCGTCGAAAATCCCAGTAAATAAACCGAAGTAAATCCCAGTAAATAAGCCGATAAAATAAACATCAGAATTGCCAGCAGACTAACTCCAGCCGATGAATGGACCATTGGTCAAAGCGACTGGAAAAACAGCCAGCTGAAGAGCTAGACAATGAATTACAGGCAATCCTAATAAAAAATGAAACACCAATTCCACCTTGCATCATCAATTCTGTTCGCTTTGATCAGCAAATCAATGTAAACTGTCCAAACATCAGTTTTCTTTGGATATGAGTTTAATATACCCTCAAAAATTGTTTTGCTCTGTTCCAAATCGCCATATTTAAATTCCAATTGCGCAAAACGATTCAAAACTGATACATCTGAAAGTGAAAAATCATTAGTTATTAGAACTTAACTTTTATTCCTTTAACTTGAAAAACTAAGGAAATTTAATGGACGGCTAAATGCCTAATTTAAAAACAGGCATTTTACGTAGTAACAAATGAGAAGGACTCATGTTATCTGTATCTTACTGCTAAGTTTCAGTCAATTAAGACCTCCTGAGATTTACGTCGAATTCTTTCAATTTCTCTCAGTTTTTCTTTCACATTAACTATCCGCTAACATTTGAATAACGACACTGTAAAAGCATATGTAAAAGCTGCAACAAGTGCTCCATTCTGCACATATCTAAATGTTTCAAAAACTAAGAAAAAACTGAAAACGATCTGCGACTAACGGTATTTTTGAGGTAAACAATTGACTGCTTTTTTCATCAGTTCACGTGCTTTCTGCTCACGCTTTGTTTCCAGCAGATGTTGCCCG